TGTAGATAGATTTGTTTATACAATTTGCGATGTGTATACAACAATCACTATACAGTTCGGAAATATAACTTCAACAGAATTTAGTTCGGTTTATTATACGATGCAGTATTTCAAAGTTTATTAGTAAGATTACACAATAAAAAAGAGTGCAGTTGAAAAATATAACTTTAAATTTAAAAGTAAGTTCGTACAAAAAATTTAAAATATTATTTTAAGTAAAAATCCAATGTCTGTTGTAGATAACGAAGACTGTAGACTGTACCTTTGAATCGCTATGATATTTCCAAAGCAGTTGCTCAAAGTCAATGCATTAAATTTTACATTTCATAGAACTTAAAATAATGAAGTTATAATAAAATGATGAAATGTATGATAATTATTCTAAAAATCAGATAAAGAAACCCAGGACATGGATGCATAATGGTGGAGTAGGTACCTACATGTCTGCATAAAATGATTTATAATTTAAAAATAATTAATTTAATATAATATACATATACCACGTCTTGTTGTTCAACTATTTTTAAGAAATGTTTTGCAAGGTGTTTATAAAAGATAGATTAAAAAAAAGAGTTGTTGTTAAAATCAAAATTAGTAGTAAAAAGAAAATTATGTGGATCCTATTTTATTGAATATTTTTAATTTTTGACTTAGTGATAATTTATAAATATTTATATATTTAATATTAAATTTTAATTTTAAAATGTACCCATCAAAAGCAGCTACATCTAATTTGCGACCGGAAATCATCCTTAATGTTGAAGATTAAAGCTTTTTTCTAATATAAAACATTTAAACATCAAATATTTTGATTTATTTTGATATGTTTAGGGACATTTTCATTTTCCATTTTTTTTTAGTTTTTTTTCTAAAAATATCAATAAAATTTTATTTGTTGGTTGCGAAAGCATGAAAATTTAATAGAAGGCTCCTAATATATTGTTTCAAAGGCAGATGAAAAATATTAAAAATCGTTAATCACAATTTTTTTTATAAGCATTTAAAGTTCAAAAATTGACAAAATATGGAAAAATCACGAAAATTAGCAAATTATTTTGAGTTAAGAATTCGTAAAAATTTTTCTTTTTAAATCTAAGATTTGAAAATTAAACACAAGATTCCTTATAAGATTATCTACCTTTATCAAAAGAAAAATGTCTATAAGAAAGTCAAATTAAATTTTTATGAGCGTTTGAAATTAAAATTTTTACAACATTGAATATTCACTCGATTTCCCATGTAGCGATTTCCTTATTTTGTTGTAATTCAAAAACAAATAACTGTAGATACATGAAAATTTCACTGAATGTTTATATTAGCATTTCCTATACACCATACAATTTTGAAAATATTTTGACTCTTTTTGAGCTGTTTATGGACATTTACAGCTTTCAATTTTTTTTAGTTTTTTTTTCTATAAATATCAATAAAGTTTTATCTGTTGGGCCAAAAAGTGTAAAAATTTAATAAAAGGCTACTGATATATTGTTACAATAGCAGTTGAAATATATTAAAAATACATAGGCACGATTTTTTTTTATAAGCATTTAAAGTTGGAATTTTGACAAAATTTATCAAAATCTCGAAAATTATCAATCGTTGGAATTAAAAAATTATAAAATGTTCAGTTTTTATAACTAAGAGTTGAAAATTTAAAACAAAGATTCTCTTAAATAATTCATACTGTAACCAAAAAATCTAAAAATATATAAACACACTTATTTTTTACAGACATTTTAATTTCAAATTTAGACAAAATTTCATATTTAAACCAAGAATTACGATTTTAGTTATTTTGTTTTGATTGAATAATATTATTCGTGGGTACTTGAAACTTCTAAAGTGTACTATTATATATCTATGATAGTATCACGGTTTTTGTTGATGTATAACGCGTTATAAGTATCTAATGGATATTGTGATATGATTAGTTTGTAATTTATTATAGGTACCTATTATAGGTCAATTTTTTGTTTAATACCATAGATATGTATATAATATGTCTTATACATAGACTGACATACCGTCACCGCTCAGAATCGTTTTTCTTATACAATGAGATTATATCATTGAATTCAAATTTAATACCATCCATTATACAGTGCCCCACTTGTAACATACTGTACAGCAGAGCGACATCCACTTTTTTTTATTTATATTTTTGTGTCTGTCATCACGTTTTGGGACAGTAAAAGTGCTTCGATTTTCTTCAATAGTACCTTTTCTGATAGGAAAGTGAATCTAGTTGGTACTTTGGGGGGTCAAAAGTAAACATTTTCCAGTAGTTTTCACAAGCGCCGGGAAAAACAACATAAAAATTAAGGAAAAACGGGAATTTTTACGCAAAATCGATTTTCCAAAAAATCTAATTTGGTTTTTGGTGTAACTTTAAAACAAATGACCGTAGATACATGAAATTTTCACTGGTTGTTTATATTTGCATTTTCTATACACGATAACATTTTCAAAATATTTTGATTTATTTTGAACTGTTTAGGGACATTTTCGTTTTTCATTTTTTTTTAGTTTTTTTTCTAGAAATATCAATAAAATTTTATTTGTTGGTTGCGAAAGCTTGAAAATTTAATAGAAGGCTCCTAATATGTTGTTTCAAAGGCAGATGAAAAATATTAAAAATACATATTCACAATTTTTTTTTATAAGCATTTAAAGATCAAATTTTGACAAAATTTATCAAAATCTCGAAAATTATCAATCATTGAAATTAATAAATTATAAAATGTTCAGTTTTTATAGCTAAGGATTGCAAATTTAAAACAAAGGTTCTCATAAATAGTTCATACTGTAACAAAAAAATCTAAAAAATATATGAACACAGTTATTTTTTACAGACATTTTAAATTCAAATTTGGACGAAATTACATATTAAAAAACCTAGAATAACTATTTTAGTTATTTTGTTGTGATTGAATAATATTATTCGTGGGTACTTCTAAAGTGTACTATTATATATCTATGATAGTATCACGGTTTTTGTTGATGTATAACGCGTTATAAGTACCTAATGGATATTGTGATATGATTAATTTGGAATTTATTATAGGTAGGTACCTATAATAGATCAATTTTTTGTATGTATATAATATGTCTTATACCTAGACTGACATACCGTCTCCGCTCAGAATCGTTTTTCTTATACAATGATATTAATATTATATCGTTGAATTCAAATTTAATATCATCCATTATACAGTGACCCACTTGTAACCTACTGTACAGCAGAGCGACACCCACTTGCCCACCTTTTTAAAATTTTATTTAGTTAATTAAATATTTAAGTTGGAAATTCTGTTTTTTTTTTTTGAATTTTTTACAATTTTTATTGCAATTTAAATTACAAAGATTAAAAATGTGGCTCGATCGTTCACTCGTATATATTACGGACAATCAGAATATTTTTTCAGAATGAAAATCGTGATAATTGTCGACACGTATCGTTGAAATTGGAAACAGTAGTTTTTTACAAAAAAAAGAAGTGGTAGGTAGTGAGGCCCCTTAACAAAAACATATTTAAGATTCATAGATTTTCCTTGTACAGGAACAATATCGAGAAGCGTGCTATAATTTTTAAAAATTTAATTTGACTGATGAAAATTGTATTGCGCATAGGTAATATATTTTATAATAGTTTGAAATTTTTAATTACTGACATTTTACGTTATATAAAAATAATTTAAATAAAAAATAAAATTGTGATTTTAATTTACCTAGTAATTTAAAATACCGGGAGACCAAACGTCCCATCTTAATATTATTGACGGCGACTGTTTCTTTTCTTAAGTGTGCCACATGCAGCCACTTGATTTTCAATCACAGATATTCAGCAGGAATGTGTTGTTTAATATCGCAGAATACATTTATTCTATCCTGTGGTAATATTATACTGTCGTTTGCCATTGACAACTGACCAGTATCCGACAGTAGTTGGTGGAGATGGGTTGGAATTTATGAAAAGCATAAACGTGTTGGTTCTTAGCATAAACAAAGATAATATAAGATACCTAATTATCTTAGATCATGCTCAGTCGCTCAGAACTGTCAGAACTCACTTGTCTTGGAGATAGTGCCAGACTTTTAATTTCGAGTTTAATTCAAACGTATTGCGCCAAAATGCATCCTTCCTATGTCATAAATCATAATCTTCCTCGTAACTCATAAGACTAATGTAACATAATTAAATAAAATATTAATAAATAATAAATAGCCAATATGTATACCTATATATGTCTATTATAGACAATGGACAATACCACAATTGTGGCTCTTTGTATTTTGTTTAGGTACCTATTGTTTACCTATTTTAGTATTTACAATTTTTTATTAGGTGATTCGGTTTATGCCCTGGTCTTGATTTGTCTTGTACTTTGTAGCGCTGTATCTGTGTGGTGGAGAATTGTGAACTAAACAAAAAATCCATAGGAGGGGAACCTGTTCGTTACCACCATACAACACGACAGGTTGTCCTAAGAATTTTTAGTAAACACGAAACAGGTTGCTACCTGCTATCACTTTTTAGTTTTTTCCTTGTACCAGTAATAATAATATCGTCTATTATCGAGTTTATTTACCTACTTTATCGTTCATTGTGTCGTGTTGGTATTTTTCTTTAAAATGATAAACTTTCGCTCTTTGCGTATTCATCATTAAACATTATATTATAATATTAAATATTCTAATTTTGTTGTGATCACAAATAATTGTCGTTTATGTACGATCGAAATTGCTTTGTCTAGTCGTGTACGTATGTATCTCATACTTATTCACTATTTATTTAACATACGAAAATAATATACCACTTTCTAATGGTTTCTCTTTTAAAATTTATCTGATAACTAAATGTGTGAATTATTTTAAGAAGGTTGCTTTTATAATTGTTATTATCTATTTTTGTTTTAGACCTAACCAGTGTGGATTGCTTCGCATGATCGCATCATTATTTATGTAGTCTAACATGTCCATTCGTACATAGATGTTTTATAATGTCTTGTGTTAGTGGACTACCAAAAAATTACAATGGCCCAAACACTGCAATCAGCCAGAAACAAAATGTGGTAATACCACCTAAGTATCAACCACCACCAAGTCCTAATCGTCAATATAATGTACAACTAAGCAATTATCCGCCAACTAATATTGACAGGTAGGTACAAATAAATAGTAAAATATTTTTATTGAAAATGTAATGATCAAATTCTTAAAATGTATGGTAATAATTGTAGGAGGCAACAAGGTGAAAAGCCATATGCTAATACTGCCGAAAACCATAGATATAGAACTTTGCCCGGAGAGCAACCATCGGATATGCTGAAGTTTGTACGAAAAATAGATTCGGACAATTCAAACAAAATAACTCCAGATCAGGTTAGTTTCACTTTGTTTCTATCGTTCCATCAAAGTAGAATTTTTTAATTTCCAAAATAAATTGTTCAAGGTAGGGCAGTTGATGTCAGAAATCAATAGCTTAAAAGAAGTGAATCAAAGACTGAATGACGAAAATCAAGAGTTACGAGATTTATGTTGCTTTTTGGATGACGACAGACAAAAAGGACGAAAACTAGCAAGAGAATGGCAGAGATTTGGAAGATATACAGCTTCTGTTATGAGACAAGAAGTTGCTGCATATCAGGTGAAATTAAGACATCTTGAAGCCAAACAGCAGCATCTCATTGAAGACAACATTGAACTTAAGGTTTTTTCATTATTGTAAACTACCTATTTGTTATATGTATCAAAAAATTAATTTATAATTTTGTGTATTAGGAGTTATGTTTATACTTGGATGAAGAACGAAGTGGTCCAAACAGATTGAGGGATAACTCTGTATGTAGAGTTTGTGGAAATTCTACAGGTTCTGGAAATATACCTGAAGAACTACATAGAAGAGATGAAGGTGATGGAAGCAGCTCTTCGACAAATGCTGATGAAAATATGATAACTGGTAATCAGAGTCAAGGCTCATATCATAGACAATTACATCAGTCAAATGGTTGGCAATATAGATAATTATTATTACATTATTATGGTCCACAGGTATAATATAAAATATGAATTTATTGTTATAGATCAAAATTTACCTCCAGATCAAAGATCATTGAATTATATCAGACAACTTGAAGCCAAGGTTAAAGAGTTAGAAGAAGAAAAAACTAAGCTATCTAAAAAGATGATCCAAGAAGAAAAAATTGATCAAAAAATCAATAACTGGAATACTGATGGTTCTTTTCCGGTAAGTTGTTTTAGATTCTGTGCGGAGCAAAGAATGTTTTGTCTTATAAAGATAATTGTTTTACATTGTGTATATTATCACGTTTTGAAGCAGCTTATTTGCTTTAATCTCCAACATTTAGAGGGCTTTATACTAAACAATTTGTTTAATATATGATTTAATAATTGATAAAAACTTATAAAAAAACCGTACACAATAGGTTTTTTACAAAATTCATTTTTTTTTTGTCACATTCAGAAAAAAAAATCATACACACTTTAAACTTTCACTAAAATATATTCATGCTAGCATTTGTTATAGACAACATAACATTTTTAAATATTTAAAAAAAATTAGGTACTTATATTTATTATTGAAGTAGGTACCACAAATAATTGTTTATAAAATGTAAGGATGAAATCATGCAAGTTATATAAATCAAATAATTAGTGGACAGTACTAAGAAAATAAATTCAGTTTATTCTGAAATTTAGAAGAAAAAAAACTTTATTTTTTAAATAGTAGGTTGAATATAATTAACAAATATTAATGGAAATTAAAAATTGATTAGCTTGCTTTATGTACATGATTTTTCTCCTTATTATTAATTTTTATATGCAATTTTAATTTTGTTCAAACTTAAAATTCTACATTATTAATTCTTGTTGTAATTTTAATTTATTAAACAGTTATAGATATTTTTAATTTAGTTGTTTTCCAAATTAAATTTAAGTTATTATTATTTTATGTTCACCATAGAAAATGACACATCCTGAATCGGTTTTGACTGCACTTCAAGTATTGGAGCTACGTGAACAATTAGAAGGCAAAGGTGATGAGACCTGCAGTGGTGTAGACATGGAAGATGAAGAAAAGGCATTACTTAGAGAAATGTGCAATGTAATAAGTCAAATTTATTAATGAATACAATTATCTACAAAAATTAATTTTAAATATTTGTAGGTGGTATGGCGGAAACTGGAAGATGCTTAATAATTTGCAAGACATTGCCACAGTGGATTAATATCTTGGATTCATAATAAGTAATAACTATGATCAAAATCATTTTATTGAGATTATGCTTTTACGGTATTTAGAATAATTTTTATTATTTAGTATTAATATTTAATACAATAATACGATATGTACTATTAAATGTTGTTAAGTGGAGTGTTTTGTAACAAAAACTTAAATGTCAATCCTACCTATCTTGTATTTTTATAATTTTATCTAACAAAAAGTAGTTTTTATTATATGATTTGTACTTTTTTAGTGTTTCAATCACATATTTCATATTATGTACATATTTCAAAGTTAAATTTCATCTATATAATTGATACTAGATCAAGTTTAAACTAGTAGTACTTAGATTAATATTTTTAATACATTTTTTTTTAATTAAGTAAATACGATTTGTATTTAGTAATAAATTACATTAAATTATTTAATTTTCTCTTAACCATTTTACAGATTGAATAGACGATTTAACTACTCTAATACTTTATTTTATTTTATTATTTATAGTACATTTTGTTATTTTCAAATGTTTTTCGTAATTGATTGCATTTTGTGATGTTTATAATATTTTATATATTTAATTCACTGACTGATTAACAAGACCATCAAAAATCAGTTTTATTTTTAAAAATAAATCCATTACTGATTACAGATTTAGTATGAATCTTGTATTATGGTTTTAACAATTTCTTTTCTTACACTTAATGTTATATTTACTAAAATGCAACATTTTGAAAGGAAACATTTAATTATTTCATATAATAATTAGCATAGTATTAATGATTCATTTACATTAAAAATAGAACCACAATAGTAAAAGTAAACATTTTATATTAATAAACTATTTTTAGTTGATTTCAAAAAGTGATTCCTGTTTGTATTTTCAAAATAATATATTTATAAAAAATGTTTGGTTATAAAATGGTTGGTACAAATCTAAGTTTAAAATTGTCTATAAATACTTAATGAATTCTTATGCCTACAACTTATAACACTACCTACGTTGAAAATATTATAAACAATCAAAATAATATGTTAAAACTTTGAATGTACCAATGTTTAGTATAATTTGTATTATATTTACATATTATATTGCCATTACACGTTTAGAAACAAATAGAAAATGTTTTCCATATATTTTTTATTAAAATTTAGACATTAAATTAAGATAACATTTATAAATTATTTATGATCCTATTAATTTTAGTTTGTCTTAAACTACAGATGATTAAAATGTTTATGACCTTTGGATATTACTTGTTGAAAAAAATAATTATAAATCTTTTTTAATCAGTACTTATTTACTATTTTAATTGTTAATACTAATTATTAATTAAGATCTTTTGTAATTAATTTACTGTATTTAAATTTTAAGATCTTTTATTTTTTAATTTAATATTGTTAATTTATTATTCTATTTTATATATTTATTATAAATTTAAAATATTGTATTATTATGTTATTTCTTGCCATTTTCAGTATTTAAAATGGATATATTTTGTTATAATTGATACAAAATATTTACTTACATGTTAATTAAAGTTGAAAAATATAATGGAAACATATTAAAATATATTATTTATTCAATAAAGTTCTATTTGTGTTTATAAATAACATTTAATATATATATATTATTTAATTGTTATTTAATTTAAATTTCTATCTACCATTATGGCCTTTTCCCAGGTAACTATACAGAATTTTTAACGCAATCGGTACACGACTTTTTAGTTGAATTAAAATCTTAATAAAACACTGAATTCCTTATTGTATGAAATAGGAAATTTGGTGTTTATATCTATGTATATAAAATGCTTAATATTTGTACATGTGTCGACTGGGATTGTATGTTTGTGTCCAAATAATTTATATGCTAATCAAAATATAATATATTTTTTGTAAATTCGAAATAAACACTATTTATTAGATTCTGAGTGAAACGATGAATGTATTGATTTTACAATGATGTGTGTTTTATTTTTATTTATTTTTGTGTCTGTCATCACGTCTTAGGACAGTAAAAGTGCTTGGATTTTCTTCAACAGTAGCTTTTCTGATAGTAAAGTGAATCTAGTTGGTACTTTGGGGAGACAAAAGTAAAAATTTCACAGTAGTTTTCACAAGCGCCGGGAAAAACAACATAAAAATTCAGGAAAAACGGGAATTTTTACACAAAATCGGTTTTCCAAAAAATCGATTTTGGTTTTTTTTGTAACTCTAAAACGAATTAACGTATATATATGAAATATTAAAAATCCTTGGTCACATTTTTTTTTTATAAGCATTTAAAGTTCAAAAATTGACAAAATACGTAAAAATCACGAAAATTAGCAAATTATTTTGAGTAAAGAATTCGTAAAAATTTTTCTTTTTAATTCTAAGATTTGAAAATGTAATACAAGATTCCTTATAAGATTATCTACCTTTATCAAAAAAAAATGTCTATAAGAAAGTCAAATTAAATTTTTATGAGCGTTTGAAATTCAAATTTTTACAACATTGGATATTCACTCGATTTCTGATGTAGCGATTTCCTTATTTTGTTGTAATTCAAAAACGAACAACTGTAGATACATGAAAATTTCACTGAATATTTAAATTAGCATTTTCTATACACCATAAAATTTTGATAATATTTTGACTCTTTGAGCTGTTTACGGTCATTTTCAGTTTTTAAATTTTTTTAGTTTTTTTTTCTATAAATATCAATTAAGTTTTATCTGTAGGGCCAAAAAGTGTAAAAATTTAATACAAGACTCCTGATATATTGTTACAGTAACAATTGAAAAATATTAAAAATACATAGGCACAATTTTTTTTATAAGCATTTAAACATCGAATTTTGACAACATTTATCAAAATCTCGAAAATTATCAATCATTGTAATTAAAAAATTATAAAATGTTCAGTTTTTATAGCTAAGGATTGCAAATTTAAAACAAAGGTTCTCATAAATAGGTCATACTGCAACCAAAAAATCTAAAAAATATATTAACACGGTTATTTTTTGCAGACATTTTAAATTCAAATTTGGACGAAATTACATATTAAAAAACGTAGAATAACTATTTTAGTTACCTATATTGTGATTGAATAATATTATTCGTGGATAGGTACTTGAAACTTCTAACGTGTACTATTATATATCTATGATAGTATCACGGTTTTTGTTAATGTATAACGTGTTATAAGTACCTAATGGATATTGTGATATGATTAATTTGGAATTTATTATAGATACCTATTATAGGTCAATTTTTTGTTTATAATATCATAGATATGTATATAATATGTCTTATACCTAGACTGACATACCGTCTCCGCTCAGAATCGTTTTTCTTATACAATTATATCGTTGAATTCAAATTTAATATCATCAATTATACAGTGACCCACTTGTAACCTACTGTACAGCAGAGCGACCCCACTTGCCCACCTTTTTTTTATTGAAGGCAATGTTGTTTTAACTTTTGGTGTATGATTGACTTAACAAGTTTTCTGGGACTTGTTGATACTTTTAAAATATAAAAATTACTTCTTGGTTGTACCATAAAATAGATTATACTTTATATTTTTATATAGTATAGACTATTGACTAAAAAGTAAAAAGCATTACTGTCCGAGTTAGATTCTTTCGACAGAATGTATGTTTTAGAACACTTCAAAGTTTAAATACAAATTTGGCCGAATAAGTGTGTCATTAATTTATGCAAAAATGTATAAAATACAGTTGTTTGCATCATTACTTACGACTCAAAATGATAGTGGTGTGTGCGAGATGTTTAGATGATTTCTATGATTTAATCATAATTAGTTAGTGTGAATTACTGAATTGTTGTCAATTAGAATTATTACTATTGAAACACAGTTACAAAATATAAAATTAACCAGATAGGTGAAATGTCAATTTTGTACACAGCATCCTCATTTAGCATTTATCATGATTCACGAGTCATGACTTATTGATATTGCTGAAATAGGTCAACTTTTATATTTTTAAATTTTATTTAATCACTGTCTCATGCAACTACTAGTCTTAATGTTTAATATTTTATCATTAAACGTATGTATAAAATTAAAATGTTATTCGTTTTATTCCGTATTTGTATTATTACTTTTCTTTGTGTTCTGAATCTGTACTATTGATTAGAAACATTCATTAAACTAACGGTTACTCATCGATCCATTTTCCTATTTTATTGTAACTTGTGTAAATCAAAAACGAATAACCGTAGATAGGTACCTATTTAAAATTTTAACAAAATGTTTATATTATCATATAGATCATGATAACATTTTCAAAAAATATTTCGACTACTTTTTAGTTATATATAGGTAGGTAGACATTTTCAATTTTCTCAGTTGTTATCCTTATATTCTTGTTAAAAAAGTTTTTTTTGGGTCATATGCCAGATTTTTTTTTAAAGCATTTGAAATTCAACATTATTGAAAATCACGAAAATTTGCAAATTATTTTGTAGTTACATATAATATAGGTACAAAATGATTAAAATATTTAATTTTTCTAGCTAAGGAATGAAAATTGAACACAAGTTTTCTACTTGCTCGCAGAAGTAGTTCATACTGTAACCAAAATTTCTAAAAAAGGTGGGTAAGTGGATGTCGCTCTGCTGTACAGTAGGTTACAAGTGGGTCACTGTATAATGGATGCTATTAAATTTGAATTCGATGATACAATATCATTGTATAAGAAAAACGATTCTGAGCGAAGACGGTATGTCAGTCTAGGTTTAAGACAAATTATATACAAATCTAATATGGTATTAAAAAAAAATTGACCTATAATAAATTAAAAATTAATCATATCACATTATCACAATATCTATTATAGGTACCTACTTATAACACGTTATACATCAACATCAATAACAAACCCTGATACTATCATAGATATATAATAGTACACTTTAGAAGTTTCAAGTAGGTGCCCACGAATAATATTATATAAGTAATCA